AAACTAGACAAACCCTCTGATGACGGGCAATCGGTGGGTTTGTCTAGTAACAAGAGCCCTGCAGAGAAAGGAGGCCATGTTAAAGATGGTGCTGATGTTGACGAGCAGGAGGAAAGTATGATTGGTCCCATCAGTGATGTAGAAGTCATCATTTCCGGCAAGCGGTGCACTGTTCTGATAGACACAGGGTCGCAAGTGAGCATGTTGACAGATGAATTTGTGGCCAGTCATCCTCTTCTTCGAACCCAGACACAGCGGCAGACAAATGTCAACATCTAGAGTGCTGGAGATCAACCAGTACCACACAGCGGGGTTATCCTCGTTGATGTGGAAGTCCTTGGACGCCGAGTGCACAAGGTTCCGGTATTCATCGTATCAACCACAGAATTTCGAAAAAAGGTTCCTGGGCTGTTAGGCACAAATGTAATATGAGCAAGTCGCGATGCGCTCCATGACAAACACGGAAGGCGATTTTTATCAAAGGTACAACAGGCATCAGAAACCTGGTGTTCTGCATTCCAGAGCGTCGATGACAATGCAGGTGATTTTGCGAAGAGGAATGGCGAGTTTTGTGGCCTGAAGTACAGAGGTCGTAAACCCTTCATCGTGAAGGCTGGAACAGAACCCGACATTCCCACTGAGACACCTCGGTGCGAAACCAAACATTTGATGCACTGGTAGAAAATGCGTGTAACCCTCCAGCTGGCAGTGCCCTAGTAGTTGGCAAAACACTAGTAGAAGTCCCCAATGGGAAGGTTCCTGTGTGTGTCCTTAATGTGTCCTAACACGATGTCGTGCTACGTCGAAACAGTTGTCTGGCAACGTTAGTTATGGGGAAGAAAAGTTTCTTCAGCTTGCAGTCCTGCTGGTGACACCGCAACATGTTGTGAAGCATACATTGGCAAATCTCCAACCGAAAGCCCTGATATTGACCTTGGGTCTCTGTCACAGGAAGATAGATCACATGTCACCCGATTGCTACAAGAAAACCGAAAAGAAAACCTAAGGGTGGTTTTGAACATGTACTGGCAGTGACGGACCACTACACAAGATTTGCTCAGGCATATGCAACCAGGAACGAAACTGCAACTACCGTGGCACGTGTCATGTGGGAAAAGTACATCGCTAATTTCGGCATTCTGGAACGAATCCACGTGGATCAAGGGAGATCCTTCGAGTCAGCCATTGTAAAGGAGCTGTGTAATCTCCTCGGCATCAAGAAGAGCAGGACGTCGCCTTACCATCCGCAGGGCAACCGGATAACAGAGCGATTCAATCGTATGCTGTTGTCAATGCTGGGAACCCTTGAGCCAGACCAGAAGAGTAACTGGCCGATGCATCTACAGTCAATGACGTTTGTTTGTATCATGAGGAAGCTTGAGCCAGTAATACTACGCTAGCAGTGAAGACGATGAAATACGTGTACCTACAAAGATGCCCTGTTTATTGGCCAAATACAAAACTATATAAGGCGGTGCACATGAAGTATATGTACATGTACATGTAGGGAGAACATCTGTATGCAGCTAGAGAATTCCTAAATGAAGAGGAGCATCATGGGATGAATGTTGCAACATTTTGAAGAAAAGACAGAATAGCGAAAATGAGGTATCCTTCACTACTACACTACTTTTTAAAAAGACCAGAAAAAGCACAAATTTGACTAAGTCAATGAAGATGTGAAGAAATATTGGTCTTTATTACTTTGTTCAAAACAGGCTGATTACTATCAAGTAGAAGTAAACTTACTAAAGCACATGAAATTGTGATGTGGTTGTTTACAAAGAACTTTTGAGACACTATTGTTCTGCCTGGATGACATCATGCTTTGGCTCATTAATATTCCCCAACACAGCTGGTAATGATGCATAGTACCTTGTAATTGTACATTTTAGGATTGACTTTGGACTGTGACAAGTCTACTTTTGTACTGGTTCTGAGTACTATTGGGGGATATGACATACAAAATTAATCGGCCGTAATTCTGCAGACTTTTTGTACCTGAAGCAATTCTCAGTCTCTCAGCTATCATGGCTGACTTGTAGAAGGAAAATGACTACACATAGAAGACAGCTGACAGGATTCCACTCAAGAAGAAAACGCACCAGGCTGTGGCCATTTGTACATGTAGCTGTAATGGCCAACTTTGTGGAGAAAGTGAAAAAGCTGACAGGCTTCCTTTCATCAGGACAACACCTGCAAGGCCACAACAGAACTCAAAAGAGGGCCTTGAGAAGATGAGCCAAGACGTTCCATTTGCTTTGTCAAGGAAATTTTCAAATACATTTACAAAAGGTAAAATACTGAAGAGAGAGGAGGAAGAAAAACCATCCTATTAGCGCAGTGTTGTCTTAAATTCCTAAGATACCGGTATGTCAGCTTGTGTGTACATACATGTACATGTGCATTGAATGCTCAAGACTCTTCAGGACTAAATGGAATTCTAAAGTTCTGCACACAAGTGAACATGCCCGGTAGTAACCTAAATGCCATTGGAAGCATGCAAACAAAATTCTGGATTTCAATAACGTGCATGATTTTCATGGTTTGAAATTTAGGAGATGACAAATTACTGGTACTATCATATCCCATGAATGGATCCATCTCTTATCACCAAGTTACAGGAATGTTAACCTGTACATGTATACATGAATGTGTACATGTGTGTACACAAGCATACATGTTCATATAGGGTCTTGTTTTAAAAGGCATATCACTTCTACTGTATACACAAGTAATGCCAACATTTTCCAGTAAGAAAATTGGACAGAATGAATAAAGTTATCCTTTTACATTCTTGACTACTATTAGCTTTTATATAACACCTGAGTAGATCCTTGTCATTTGATTGGAGGATTGTAGGTCCCTTGATATTTCATAGACTTTTTTATGGCTTCGTTATAAACGTTGAAGTTTGTTGTACACACCATGCATTTTTGGTTATATGCAGTTTGATCTATTGCACGCAAAGGGCTTCAATACATAATTGGTCAACAGACGGAGCGTGTTATGCCCATGATCCCTAAAATGGCGGCGGGTTCAAGCAATTTCGTGTTGCTGAATAACGAGGAAATTGCCGAATTACTTGACAGAGCAGACGCAAAGAACATGAAGAAACAAAGTCAGTATGCTGTATGTCGACTAGAGTCTTACGCGAGGTGCACTGGTACGAGTTTAGACGAGGTAGAACAGTGATCCACAGCAGAACTTGAAAATATGACACTCGTGAAAATATTCTTACCATTGTACTTATAAACATTCATTATTTGTATACTGCCTCAGGTCAATGTAAATGTAAAAACCACTGCGGAATAACAGATTTGTAATTCATTATATATCTAAATGCACAGTGTAAAAACAAAAACAAAGATCCCTGCAGATTCAAACACATTATACTTGACCACAACACAAACAGACATTGACCCTCAGTAATTTCACAATAAAGTCACTAATTCCAAGGGAAATTCTAACAAAGTGACAAGATACTGGTTTACAGCTCAGGTTTGAGTTGTTCATATATCGGTACATTACAAGGCATTTCAGAGTTTTTGACACATCATAGCTTCAAGCTTAAAATATCAGGACAAACATCTTGGCAGTCAGCCATCATCAATGCAATAGAATTTCTTCAAATATACAGAATCTTTTGCTTTGTGTCGCATGTGCTATTTATTTCAGTTGGAGTAATGTACAATAATTCATGGCCTTTCCACTTCAATTCTTTCTCTGTGAAGTGTGTTTGCCCACGGCTGACATCAAATCAACAGTACCCTCAGGTATTGTGGAAGCATTATGGGCTATGTAAATAGTGACAACAGGGGCATTTTTAACCACAGGTCTACCACGCACAGATCTTTGAACAAAATACGTTCTATTACAATTTTCTTTATAGCTGAAGAAGTATCAGTTTTTGAGTTCTTACTTTCCTTCAACAATGACGACTGGCTGATTTCTTGAGGATAGAACTCCCTGCATCAGACACTGTCTATAATCGGTCTGACCTCTGTCTGCATGAGTCCCTTCTTTCTCACCCTGGTAATTGGCTGAGGTCAGGATGATGCTAGAGATGGAACCACGTCTTTTTCAGAGGAGACCTGCATATTACAATCAAAGATTTGCCATTTGTTTCAGGACAATTCTTTCAGCTCCCAGATATGTGATAATACTCTACCAGTAGCTACCCAGCCATGCATCAATTTACACGTAGCTCCTGCAAATCCTTTATTCTTTTCTTCCCAGCAAAACCTTGCCCTCAGCTGTGATAATGCAACCTGCACTGACACTGTCAACATAGTAACTGAGCATCATGTGTGCTTGCATTCCTCTCTTGACTACAGAAGAGACACAGCCAGGCTGTAAACATTCCACTGAAAATTGGTTGCCTGCACTCTACCCAATGTGTGCAGAACCAGTAAGTCAAAATGATGTGTCCTTCAAGTTTACTGGTTCCTTTGAATCACAAGCAATTTCCAACATGAGGTGCATCTTAAATTCTTTAAAAAGTTGTGACTTTGCAAGCATGCAGTTACTCTTAGTGTGCACGCACTGGATTAAGACCAGTGCCACTTGAATGAATTAGGTACATGTACGTCTGTGAATTGTGGTCGCCTAAACTAGTTGGTAAAGTAAAAACAAATGTTCAAACGTCCAGGCCCATTTCCTTAAAGGCCGCCAAGTTTTTTTAGTATGGGAAAAGTGAGGTGACAAAATGGAAAAATGTCTTTCTCTGTCATGCAGTCAACCATATTATCTCCAAACATGTCTTCCCGAGGCTACAACACTTGGCTTGCGAATTACACACTGACGCTAAACCCCTAGGCCCTTTTTGTTAGGATGCACCCTCAGTCCTTCAAAATCCTCTTACTGCCTTCATTGAATATCGCATAAAGCTTCAGTAGTCCTCCAACTTCTTCCGTTTTTTTTCTTGGATGTGTTCCTTAGAAGGGTGACCAATGCCTCAATTCTTCGATTCATCTGTCAATTTTGAGTACAAGTATCCGCTCCAAGCGCAACAAAAGAGGGCATGTTTTTTTGGGACTCACCGCATAAGCGCGCGTTTATAATGGTGATCAATGGCGTGTTTGACATGGAGCACGCTCAGTACGCATAACGGATTTATTCCTTAATGTATGGTCTTTGCATACACGCAGAACACGTGCAAGAACCCACTTGGAAAACTTACCATAATCTGTCTTTCTTTTGCCGTTCGGGGGTGCACTTCAACTCGGGGCAGATAAGGCACATCAAGAATCAACCCATAGTTGACCAACAGTATCTGATCAACTTGTTATAGCATTTGTCTGAGTCTTAACCTCTTCTCTAGGTTTCTCAGCCACATCTTCCCAGTATGCTGCCCTCCTGTCCTCCCTAGTGTCTGCTCTACATGTTGCTGTTATTGTTGCAAGCATCTATGTTGCTAGGCCACCTCTGGCTACAGTACCATCTGTGCCTGCCTTAAGGGCTACCAAACCCACTGTTACTACAGGCGACGGTGGCACATCTCAGAGAAGTACTCTAGCTGCTCGGGTAGGAGCTAGTCCTGTGGAAATTCTGAATAGAAAACCAAATCTGCTCATTGTTGCACTGTTAACGAAACTCAAACTGCATACATACATGTAGCTAGTTTATTGAATTCAGTGGACTGGGCAAGGCACTCCATTCCAACACAGCAGCATAAAGACTATGCATGCAGGCAGCATCACACCAGGAGTTTGGCTTGAGCTTCAAAGAGGTGCGGACTGACTCTTTTCCTACATGTAGCTGCGAGTAGTGAGACTCTCTACATACGTGTACCTTACCTTGCTCTTTTCTGCCTTCCATGCTTGTATATCTTTCCCATTTTATTTGCTTACAATACCCAGAAATCTTGCATTTTGTTCTGCTTGTTAGCAGTTGCTGCTGGTCAGTGGTACTCAAAATCCTCCCCCATCAGACCAACATGGCCGACAGCAATGAGGATGATTTACATGGGATCAACTTTCACGACAGCAGCTCTCGGACAATAGACCCACTACTCTTGATATACTAATGAGTCAAGCTCAAGAGGGTGAACTTAATGGAAATGACGATGATGAATCTGATATCGCTGATCATGAGGAAACGCCCCCAAAAGCTACAAGGAGACCTATCTCTAGAAAAAGACCAATATCACCGAGTCAAAGTAATGAAACTACAGACTCTGATACCAGTACATGCTCTAGACGCCAAAAAAAAAAAAGAAACGTAAATACTCATTCACTCCAAGCAAATCCAACCGTTGTCATTACAAACTTCCCAGATGTCAAACTTGCTCAGATTAACCCTAACCTTCCCTAACCACACAGAATTCAACACCAGTAAAGTGTGTGAGTTTATGGCATTGGGTACTGGTAGTTTACTTACTATCTGGTGTTTAATTTTGTGTTAATGGGTACTGTGGGCCTGCAGATACCCTGTTGAATTTTGACTGAATGGGTGCTGTGGCCCTCTCACTTTATCCCAGCAGTTGGGGATGGATATGCAGCATGATGGTGTGTGAGTTTGTTTGAAAAGGTACTGCCTGTCCATACTCTTTGTACTGTGCAGTGGGCCTGCTGTACCCAATCAAACACAATTACACGGGTAAAGACCTGTTGGAACTTGTGGGATTAGGTACTCTTGCAACAGGAGTACTGTTGAAGTCTCTGGGATTGGGTACTGTGAGGTAAGAGTGTTTTTCCAAGGTGTTGAAGTTTGTGTGATTGGGGAAGGTTAGGTCCAGCAACCCTTGGGTAGTTATGGTTAATCCACTAAAAATACGGGCAATTCACAAGAGTGCGCCTCCAAGAGTTCGCAATGCGTTGGCCAATCACAGTGCGTGAAATCTGTCGACCGAATACACGTTTGGAAAGGGTCAACAGATTTCGCGCATGGTGATTGGTCAACGCGCTGCAAACTCTTGGAGGCGCACTATTGTGAATTGCCCGTATTGCTAAAGCTCTCAAAGCAGTTGGACCAGAAATCATTTAAAGTGTCATTAACCCTCCTACGCTGAAGTCACTCTTTGGGTCACTTGGTAAACACACCAAAGAAGCACAGCTGTGTCGTGTTGTGCACTGCACCAACTGTCCCTCACAGGAATATCAGATTGCACTTTTGTGCTGTCCAACAAGTGTGCCTCGCTGTTTCATGCGCATAATNTGTTCCATAAAGAAAACATGCAAGAGAGTAACAGCCCATTCCCACTTGATCCACCAATTGGGGGATCTGATCCACCTTTTGCCAAATTGCCAGATCAGATCCCCCAATTGGTGGATCAGATCCGGCAATTGTGTGTAGTGGGAATGCTAACCGTTATAAGGTGGATCAGGATCAGATTCACCTTTCTTGATCCTTCTCTGGAGCAAGATACAGATCCCCCGATTGGTGGATCAGATCCTGCAATTGGCGGATCACGATCAGATGGGAACGCAAAAGGTGGATCTGATCCGGCAATTTGACCTGTCAACATCTGTCCATGCACGAGTGGCACGAAACTTTTGCGGTCTGATGAACAGAGAAATGTTTTTTGGCATGTAGCTCATGTGAATTTTTTAACGTGCACAGCATGCACAATAAACAACTGCTGAGCTACGGGCTAGCAAAATGTGTCACCACACATGTGCAATGTATGCATGCCGCGATGTGTGCCTTGCCCTTTCACAATTTTTGTTGCGCATTCGTCCGTTTCTTAACCTTTTTCATTTGTGTAATTTCACTTGCTTTCCATCAAAAACTAATTCTGTGTAAGCGTATAGCCCACAACGTGTGACAGAGTATCAAAAACAGAAGCAAAGTTTTAAGAGACAACATACAAGGCTGAACATTCGGTCCGATTCAAGGTCGTCACGCCAGTAGAACCCGGCACCCAAAACACCGCAGATTCACAGGCATGCCGCCCCAGCACGCCACATTGCAACAGAGCGCGCACTCAGCAAGTTAGCACATGCGCAATACCGAACTCAGTGACCTTTCGGGCTCGACATTTCCGTCCGAAAAGGTGGATCAAGTGCTAGCGGGAACGCGACTTGCGGTTTCATTGCGGTAAGATAACGATCAACTCAAAATGCTGGATCAAGATCCACCTTTTCCAATTCAAGTGGGAACGCGCTGTAACTGTGGGCACTCATGCATATTTATGCTGTAAAACCAAAGGAGGGTTAAAACCAGCCAAGGTGGTATCAGTATAAAGTGTCATAACCCTGGTCAAGCTAAAAAACTAAAAAGAATTAATAAGCTTGGACAATGGGCAGTCACCAAAGAGTTTACCAAATCAGAAACCTAAAGTAAGCCAAAGGATATGACTTCCAGAGTACCAGTAGCCCTTGAACTTACTGAAAAGGAAATTCTCAAGGAATGTAAATAAAAAGGTGTGATAGATGTTTGAAGACTCACCTCCAGAAGAAACGAGAAACTGGAAAGAGCCTGTCAGTCTGCCTCACATTTAATTCATCCCACCTTCTGTGCCTCAACAAATCCCACTCCATTATCAGTACTTTGATGTGAAACCATACATACCGACAGTCATGCACCATTTCAATTGCCAAGGTCTAGGACATACTGCTAATAATTGTCATAGCAAAACAAGATGTGTCAGATATACTGGTACAGTGGTACTCACACATTAATCAGTGTGACAATATGATCCAGAAATGCAGCAGATGTGATGGAAGCCATTCCTCAGCATAGGCAGGCTGTGATACCATAAAAAAGAAAAGAAAATTCAAGAAGTTAGAGTTACTTATAGTGTATCGTATGCTGATTGCTGAAGCAGCTACATGTAAGTCCATGGAGGTACAATCTACCTCCATGGTAAGTCCATACTAGCCCCACAAATAGGGCTGTAGTGGCTCTCTGTTACAATCTGTCTCTTTTCTGTCGCTACCACAGCCCTACTTGAAGGCATGTCTTAAATGCATGAAATCCAAACGGCAGGATTGTCACAAACTTTGAATCCTAATATCTTCCGAAATGAGAATGACTCGACAATTTTACTTACACCGGCGTATTTCTCAGAGTTTGGACTTTCATACGAGCACCCTAAAGCTTTCCTGAATCGTAAATTTTCCGATGTATGGTGCCTTGAAAAACCCGGCCTGTACTATTAAATGTTGACCACGGGCGGTGCCATTTTGAAAAACGGAGGCAGCGCTTCGTGCGTCAGATTTCAAGGCACCTGACAGGCACTCTGTATACGTTGTACCATACAAAACTAGTACCTTGTCATACCTTGCGTGACAGATGAACAAGGAACTGGTGAAATTGAATTTGAATAACATTAATATGCAAGTTCTGTGTGGGCGTACTATACACTAGCAAAGTGCGCGCGCAACTTATACTAAGCAATACTGTGACCACATGAATTATACATCTACGGCACCTGTCTGGTGCCTTGACTTCCAACGCTCGAAGCACTGCGACAGATAAGAGACAGATTGTAAAAGAGAGCCACAGCCCTATTTGTGGGGCTAAGTCCATACATACTGTACTGACATCGGGGTTCATTGCCTAGTCCTTTAGCTCCCTGCTCCTATTATAGATGAACAAATTCTACTTTTTCGAAACAAATTATCTAAACAAGTTGTTAATGATGTCCTCCTTAATATTTGAGAGAAAAGAGAACAGTGCTTTTGGTTTTTGAGGAAAATTTTTGGGTAAAACGGCAGTGTACATGACCTCTACGAAGAGAGCTGTGATCGACAATTAAGTGAATTAGGTCTGGTTCCTTGACCTAGATGAAGGTTTGTTTTTGAATGAATCCTAAATGCCTGAGTCAGGTAACCTGACGAAAAACAAAGTGGCATGATTTGACTGAGTAGTTGTCTTTTGCCAAACTCGGGTTAGAAATTTGAAGTTTTCTTGCTTAAATATTGTCAAAATAAACTAAGCCTATCAGGATTGATTAATGATCCCTTAAAGAAAAAATGTTAGTTAGAGAAAGTGGACTTTGTTTCCTTATTATAGGAACAGGGTACTAATGGAAATGATTCCCCTGACATGACATTGTAGCGAACTAGTATGCACACACATATATAGCTTGCAAATGTATATGTCTGTTCTAGGACACCATACTGCATGATAGGAAAAGGCATGATGGGATAGGTCATCAGGGTTGTCGTAAAATGGCGTCCTGAGATGTGGTGAGATCATTAAAGTTGTGTTATATTATCGTTATCGACTCCGCCTAATCCTGTGGAATATTGTGTGGACTGTCTGTCCCCGGGATCCTAAAACAACCTGTAGCGATCGGCTCGTTACAACATCACTGTCCATGCCGAGAAATCCAAAGACCCATCCTCCAACATCCGAGCTAAAAACCCGCGCTGAAACCAAAACATGGACAGTTTCACAAAATATAAGAAGTGATCAAAAAAATCTAAGCCTGCCAGCACCTACTACATGTAGTAAAAAAGAAGCATCTACTCAAACTGATGAGATAACTGTAGCTAGCAAGGTCTACGGAGTAACGGAGTAGCACATGTACATTACCGTTCGCTCGCGATCGCCTTCGCGGGCCATGCGCCAGCAGCCACATGCACACGGTGTTGCGAAATAGCGCCTCCAAGTGTCAAAATTATACATTCAGGCCAACAAAAAATTAATGTTGGCCTGGGTAGAAAATTTGTTAACCACGCTCCGACAAAGTTATTAACCTGTCGCCAGTAGACTTTGAAAATTAGAACACAATAAATGCAAGCTCAAAACCTGCTTTTTCAAATTTTTACCTCTATGATATGTGGGAAGAAATCTGGCCTAAAAGGCTTGTATACTTTTTAAGAGCATTTACTGTGGCCACATTTTAGAAACGATTTTTCCCCCATTTTTAATGTGTGGTGAATGGAGTTCGACATTAGAAAATGGAAGTGTGTCTTTCATTTTTGTAACATACTTTAACGCTCCTGTTTTTTAGGATTGCCCTAAATCTTGTCCATTTTTCGTTACCATGTTTCGTTACAGACTGAGTTTTACATCCTGATGAACTACAAGAATATACTGTACCATACATTCCACCTACTTTTGAAGGCCTTTAACCCTGTAACCCCCCAAAGGCTCAATCTGCCATTTGAATTGGCTATTAGGCAGCTAGAAGAACACTTCTGAACTGCAATGATGTGAAATTATTCCGAGCAGCAGATATGAGCCAATGCAGTCCTACAATGTTGCAAAACAAAACTGTGAAATTCCCTTGCATTCTAACCACAGAGTGCTGAATTTGACAGTGTGGTGAAATACACTTGCAAGATTGAGATATCTTTATGAGTTAAATTGAAGTCTGAACCATTAATCAAATGAATAGAATGCATGAAAGAATACCTACATGTTGGCATCAAACCAGTCGGAGAATAGATAAACATTAACATTCCCTTTATTTAATCACTGTACATGTAACCTTATGTCAACCCTTGATATACTACAAATTTAAAATCATTTTTTTATTTAACAAACATCAGCACATACGACTCACTGATGCTAGCATGTACTGTTGACAAAGCAAGAAAAATGAGAAATCTCATCTCTAAAATCCACCTGAATTATTGAGGCAAGGCACCAAAGAAGTAATACCACACAGCCTGGACTGTGTTTTGTGCTTTCGACTACTTGTTTAAAAGATAGTGGTGAGTAAACTCAAGCTTTGTTGAGTGGACAGAGTTGCTCCTATATGTCAATACATAAATTACTTCATACAATTCATTTTAATTTCACTCTGAATTCCCTCCCTTGACCAATTTAAGGGCAAGTAATTAATGTGGCATAGCTATTAAATGACAAACCACCCAAAACAAAGAGTACAGACTTGTGAAGTCAAACTCAATAACTAATCATATGGAAATATTAGATGTCCATTCTTAATTGTCTCTGCTCAATCCTGTTCCTTCCTCTTCTCCATTGTTCTTCCCCACGACCCCATAAACATCCCTGAACAACAAAAGAGCCAAGTTATTTTGGCCCATCTCACAGCTGGGTGGGGGATTCCAACTCCCCCCCTCAACTCGGCTGTACCTAGCTCAATTTTTTCTAAACTTGGCATACATGTAAAGACACTCCTTGTCATTACAGCAGTGAATTTTAAACTGAATCAGATGTACAGTTTTGTTGATACAGTCATTTGAAATTCAAGGCTACATGTATGCCAGCCTGTGTGCATTGAGCACCACAATGGAAGAAGTATATATTTTGACTGACCCGTCTTGGGAAAATGCAAGCTGCACAAGAATGGTATGTCCGATTTTCACAAAATTGGTATCAAAATGACTGCAAAAGTCTAAAAACTCCTACAGGCTCAACTCCTGAAAAAAATCCATTGCGGTGATATCAGGAAAATGTTGAGGGGGTGGATTCTGCCCCCTGGCTCTTTTTGGGTTAACACCTGCGTTAAAAGACATGTTATTGGTATTTCGTTTCATCCCAAGTGTGGCAATCCCACAAAATCAGAATAAAGTAACTCTAACATTCCGTCAATGAACCTGCTATAAAGCATATTTCATTTTCTTGTAACACCAATATACCAAAGGTATACTTTTATTTTGAGCAGACAATCTGCTCATGTTAACTTGCAGTACAGCAAGTCCAGTTTTACTTTTATTTTGAGCTGACAATCTGCTCATGTTAACTTGCAGTACAGCATGTCCAGTTTTGGTTTGTTTTCAATACCACGCTGAACATGAAATGCAATGGAATAAAAGTTTGTAAACACACTCATAACCTACAACATGAACATTCCAAAACATTGGGCAATCAAGCAAAATAAAAAGTTTGGCACAATGTCCATTTCAAAAAGGGTGTCTCAATGATAACCTCACGATAGTGATTGCACAACGAACTTTCCAAATCACAGGAACTCATTCCAATTTGTGGCTCCACTAAGCATGAAAATCTGCGCTTGATAAGCAAATATTTTCATGCCTATGGCCACCATTCCGAGGTTAGCACACAAAATCTCTGCAAACAGTTTCAAAGGAAGCAGATTATAAGATATCTGCACAGGCCTCCCCTTTTGTAGGTTAGAAATACAACAAGAACAAAATTGCATAGTAATACAATTGAACCTGTTTTGCCAATTTACGCTCAATTCAAGTCAAGAAAACATTAATTCCATGCTCCTTAAAAAAAAGTACATTGATAATTAAGGGAACAAGGTACACAGAAATTGACAAAATGGATAAGCTTGAAGAAAGTACATCAGAAGCTAAAGAAATTTGGTACATTGAAATTAGCAAAGTGGATGCAAACAACTTTTTTTCAGATATGTGTACTTAACCACTTGCTGCCGGGTGGATTTTTCTTGAGCAAGACATGATGCCGGCCATTTTTCAAGATTTTCTGTTTTCAAAGTTCTTCAAAAATTCATCATTTCATTTAATGGCCGTTAATACCAAAATGAAGGACTCTTTAGGTGCTACTCTAAAGCTGAAAGGTAAAATTCATTGACTCATGAATATTTCAGCCAGGCCTGCAGCCTTGGAAAAAGAGCCCAGATTGAGCGGTGTTATGTAAGATTCTTTTGTTTCCAAAACCAGCACAGTTCACTGCTGACCTATTTTCAATAGGGGCCAGATTAGCGTGCAGCAGTGCTGTGTGGCTCATCGCTGCGGTGGTAGAGCGCTTTTGTCCCCGGTGGTAATCCGCTCACTTTAAATGCCTAAAACCATGCTATACTGTTTCAAAACAAGGCTGAATTTTCTCCACTATTGACAGCGACAAAATGTCGGTAATGCGCAGCAGCTCAGTCTTTTGTTCTGAGCATGGTCTTTTGTTATAACGCCCAACTCTTTTGTCCCAGTTCCCGGGCTCCCCAGCTCTGCATATAAAGCCTATGTACTGAAAAACGGGTCACCCTGCAGGAAGTGGTTAATGAAAAAAAACGAACTTATGAAAAGATAAAGAGGTATAAATGAGCAAGGAAGAGAGCATGAGGCTGTTGAATAAGCAGAGGCTTGTATAACCAGCCCTTAAGACAAAAGACTTAACAAGAACAACACAAATAACTAGACAAAAACACAGGATGGATAAGATGACATAAAAGACTTGATAACAGCTGACAACAGAAAATTACAAGAATTGGAATATTTGAAGACTAAAATAAAATAAAGACGGAGATATTAACTATAAGTACAGAAGAGGATTAAAGCTACATTTACACATAGTGGGAAAAGAAGGCTCTTTTATAATAGGTCTTAAACTGGCCCAAGCCCACGGACAATTTCGTATTGATGTCAATAGGAATGGCATTCCATTGACGGGGACTGAAGAAGC